TTTAAAATATTTTAAATGAATGTATGTCTTTTTTCATGGTAAAAAAAAAAAACCTGATAACAAAAAATATAAAAAAAATACCATTTTTTTTAAAATTGATAAATTTGAAGACAATTTTGCATGTTGTGGCAAATCATGACATCTAGGAGTTTTTCCAATATTTTATTTATTTTCAGCACACCAAAATACATGGAAATTAAATGAAAATAATCAAACAGCTTTTTAGTTGCAGACCTGTGATTATGTCTCCATAGTTTTCTTGGAAACAATCCAGATTTTGACAAAGACTTCATAAAAAAAAATGTTTAAAATATTTTAAATGAATGTATGTCTTTTGTCATGGAAAACACTATCACTGAGAACCAAATCAGTATAAAGTCCTATTTTAAACTGATGTACCTATTTGTTTAGTACCATAATTATGCATACTTTGATACACAAAACCTTAACACAGTAGATTTTAGAAACAAGGTTTCTTATAAACCTAAATAAGTTTACATCCAAAGTTCCCTCTCAGTAATTTTATGCCCTCTGACTTTTTCCACCTCCTGTAAAGTTTTCTCACACATTCTTTTTATGCCAGAAAAATGCCTGGCTATACAAGCACTGTCCAGTCCACCTAGCAGTTCAAAAGCATGCAAATGCAAGTAGATAAATAGGTACCAGTTTGGCGGGAAGGTAACAGCATTCCATGTGCCTCAGCCTGTAATCATGCTGGCCATATAACCACAGAAATGGCTTCAGACAACACAGGACCCTTCATCTAAGAAATGGAGATGAGCACGGCTTCCTAGAATTGGACATGACTGGATAGGGGAAACCTTACCTTTTTATCTTTATACAAACACCAATCATTTTATTAGTATCAATATGTGGGAGCTTAATTATAACACCTAAAAGCGTTGTATATTTTCTGGCAAAACAAGAGACTTCTGGCAAAAAACCTTACGTTTTCCTTACAGTTTCCTAATTTTTTATTCAGAATCCATTGGAGGGGAAAACTTGTCTTGGTGCAAATTGTATTATAGACAGAGTTTTGTTCACATCACTCACCTTCGGATGGCGCAACAAAAACTTGGCTGCCTCTTCAAAATATTCAAGACGGAAATCATCCATGACTTTTGGGAGATCCTCAAAATTAAAATATGGCAAGGAAAGAGCTGCAAAGCCATGGGTTGCCAGAAGGCTGGATCGGAACTCGGTTAACCCACCTTCATCACCAAACATGTCTATCACAGCTGGAAATGGGCCGTTCCCTAATAGGAGTAGATATTGATCAAATGTGTTGGGCCTGGACATTATTAACAAGATTTTTTAAATTGTTTTTTATATTGAAATGCCTTTAACAAGCTCATTTTAAAAGTATTTTTGGTATGACTGCCATGGGTTAGAGTTCACCACATGCTTAATCCTCTATATTATGGAAAGGATAATATTATTTCTGCTTAGAATTTATCCAAGATACCTGACTTTGCCCATCAACCCTATCTTTGTTTATTTATTTATTTATTTTGGTATCCACAAATGTCCCACTGCTTATTCCCGTTTGGCTGCCTTGACTGAGACTGGAAAAGTCCAGAATCGGTTGTCAGGATGCCATGACAACTGATGGAGGAAATGGGAGCCTGAACCATCATCATCATCATTTCTCCTCTACTCACCTGGCGGAAGGAATAAGCTGCCTCTTACCGCACCTTCCTTCAACCTAATCCTTCTCACGTCAGGAAGAGTGAACCACCTTTCCACGCTCGTTTGAGCAAGCACCTGTCCGGGGATGGCCCCGGGCTGACTATATTCCTGATGCACCGTGATCTGCACTTTCACGGGACGCTCGACGTCCTCGGGCTCCAGCCTTTGGTAAGGCTTCTCTATGGTAGCGGGGGTCAGGCTCCAAAACAGCCCCATGGGCTCCACTCCCACATAATCCCCTCCCCTAGAAACATCTCTGGACAGGTCTATTCCCCCCTGCTGGTCCGCTTGGTAATGCGCGCAGGCGTCGAAGAGGCTACCCTGCCCGTTCGCTACTAGCGCCCGGAGCGTCACTCCCTGCAAAGGCGCCAGTCCTTCGACCGTCACTTTCGCGGGCTGATCTGCCAAGCCTACAGCGGGGGTGACCGACATGGTTATTAGTCCTCTTCGGTCGTAGCTTTTCGGAAAGGTCTTCCCCAAAGGGTGGCCCGGCCCGCGCAAGAACACCAGGCGGAAGTCCCACGCTCTGCCCATGACTTTTTGCCACATGATGGGATCCACGGACTCCTTGCACGAGCCGCTGAACGTCGGGACTAGAAGCAAAGCTG